ATATATAGATATATTATAGATATATAAATATATAGATATATATATATAATATAGAATATATATAAAATATATAGATATATAATATATAAAATATTATATATATATATATATATATATAATGTCGTGCCGAATAGGCAGAACTTGCGATCTTGGCTTAAATAGCAGCGCTCATCTTGCCATATAGGACAAGTTAAAATTTGTGTATGCAATAATTTCGCCAAAATCATTCTGAGCCTAACGAAAAAAGTATATTTCATTGTGTTTGCTTAGTACTAAATTATTGTAAACGTATTTAAAATATATTTAGCTGGGTTAGGCTAAAACAAATTGTTCTTGTTATGATAAGGTTAGGTAAGTTTTCTAAGATTCTTTTGATGCAAAATTATAAATTTTTACATTAACATTAATGAAAAAATATATCTTTAAACGTATAAGATAAAATTTTAGAAAGGACTTAATTTTAAATGAGTTCTTGCTAATTGACCATATATATATTATTAACAAGTCGGCCGTCTCCCACCGAGGCAGGGTGACCCAAAAAAGAAAGAAAATACTTTCATCATCATTCAACACTTTCACCACACTCACACATCACTGCTTTTGCAGAGGTGCTCAGAATACAACAGCTTAGAAGCATATACGTATAAAGATACACAACATATCCCTCCAAACTGCCAATATCCCAAACCCCTCCTTTAAAGTGCAGGCATTGTACTTCCCATTTCCATGACTCAAGTCCGACTATATGAAAATAACCGGTTTCCCTGAATCCCTTCTCTAAATATTACCCTGCTCACACTCCAACAGATCGTCAGGTCCCAAGTATCATTCGTCTCCATTCACTCCTATCTAACACGCTCATGCACGCTTGCTGGAAGTCCAAGCCCTCGCCCACAAAACCTCCTTTACCCCCTCTTTCCAACCCTTTCGAGGACGACCCCTACCCCTCTTTCCATCCCCTATAGATTTATATGCTTTCCATGTCATTCTACTTTGATCCATTCTCTCTAAATGACCAAACCACCTCAACAACCCCTCTTCTGCCCTCTGACTAATGCTTTTAACTCCACACCTTCTCCTAATTTCCACACTCCGAATTTTCTGCATAATATTTACACCACACATTGCCCTTAGACAGGACGACATCACTGCCTCCAACCGTCTCCTCGCTGCTGCATTTACCACCCAAGCTTCACATCCATATAAGAGTGTTGGTACTACTATACTTTCATACATTCCCTTCTTTGCCTCCATAGATAACGTTTTTTGACTCCACATATACCTCAACGCACCACTCACCGTTTTTCCCTCATCAATTCTATGATTAACCTCATCCTTCATAAATCCATCCGCCGACACGTCAACTCCCAAGTATCTGAAAACATTCACTTCTTCCATACTCCTCCCCAATTTGATATCCAATTTTTCTTTATCTAAATCATTTGATACACCTCATCACCTTACTCTTTTCTATGTTTCACTTTCAACTTTCTACCTTTACACACATTCTCAAACTCATCCACTAACCTTTGCAATTTTTCTTTAGAATCTCCCATAAGCACAGTATCATCAGCAAAAAGTAACTATCAATTCCCATTTTGAATTTGATTCCCCATAATTTAATCCCATCCCTCTCCCGAACACCCTAGCATTTACTTCTTTTACAACCCCATCTATAAATATATTAAACAACCATGGTGACATTACACATCCCTGTCTAAGACCTACTTTTACCGGGAAGTAGTCTCCCTCTCTTCTACACACCCTAACCTGAGCCTCACTATCCTCATAAAAACTCTTTACAGCATTTAGTAACTTACCACCTATTCCATATACTTGCAACATCTGCCACATTGCTCCTCTATCCACTCTATCATATGCCTTTTCTAAATCCATAAATGCAATAAAAACTTCCCTACCTTTAAATACTGTTTCACATATATGCTTCAATGTAAACACTTGATCTACACATCCCCTACCCACTCTGAAGCCTCCTTGCTCATCCGCAATTCTACATTCTGTCTTATCTCTAATTCTTTCAATTATAACCCTTCCGTATACTTTTCCTGGTATACTCAGTAAACTTATTTCCTCTATAATTTTTACAATCTCTTTTGTCCCCTTTCCCTTTATATAAAGGGACTATACATGCTCTCGCCCAATCCCATAGGTACCTTCCCCTCTTTCATACATTTATTAAATAAAAGTACCAACCACTCCAACACTATATCCCCCCCTGCTTTTAACATTTCTGTCATGATCCCATCAGTTCCAGCTGCTTTACCCCCTTCATTCTACGTAATGCCTCACGTACCTCCACCACACTTACATTCTGCTCTTCTTCACTCCTAAAAGATGGTATACCTCCCTGGCCAGTGCATGAAATTACCGCCTCCCTTTCTTCCTCAACATTTAAAAGTTCCTCAAAATATTCTCGCCATCTACCTAATACCTCCCTCTCCCCATCTACTAACTCCCCTACTCTGTTTTTAACTGACAAATCCATACTTTCCCTAGGCTTTCTTAACTTGTTTAACTCCAAATTTTTTCTTATTTTCATTAAAATTTCTTGACAGTGCCTCTCCCACTCTTTCATCTGCTCTCCTTTTGCACTCTCTTCACCTTTCTTTTACTCTCCATATACTCTGCTCTTCTTATAACACTTCTGCTTTGTAAAAACCTCTCGTAAGCTACATTTTTCTCTTTTATCACACCCTTTACTTCATCATTCCACCAATCACTCCTCTTTCCTCCTGCCCTCACCCTCCTATAACCACAAACTTCTGCCCCACATTCTAATACTGCATTTTTAAAACTATTCCAACCCTCTTCAACCCCCCCCCCCCCACTACTCATCTCTGCACTAGCCCACCTTTCTGCCAATAGTCGCTTATATCTCGCCCGAACTTCCTCCTCCCTTAGTTTATACACTTTCACCTCCCTCTTACTTGTTGTTGCCACCTTCCTCTTTTCCCATCTACCACTTACTCTAACTGTAGCTACAACTAAATAATGATCCGATATATCAGTTGCCCCTCTATAAACATGTACATCCTGGAGCCTACCCATCAACCTTTTATCCACCAATACATAATCTAACAAACTACTTTCATTACGTGCTACATCATACCTTGTATATTTATTTATCCTCTTTTTCATAAAATATGTATTACTTATTACCAAATTTCTTTCTACACATAGCTCAATTAAAGGCTCCCCATTTACATTTACCCCTGGCACCCCAAATTTACCTACTACTCCCTCCATAACATTTTTACCCACTTTAGCATTGAAATCCCCAACCACCATTACTCTCACACTTGATTCAAAACTCCCCACGCATTCACTCAACATTTCCCAGAATCTCTCTCTCTCCTCTACACTTCTCTCTTCTCCAGGTGCATACACGCTTACTATAACCCACTTTTCACATCCAATCTTTATTTTACTCTACATAATCCTTGAATTTATACATTTGTAGTCCCTCTTTTCCTGCCATAGCTTATCCTTCAACATTATTGCTACTCCTTCTTTAGCTCTAACTCTATTTGAAACCCCTGACCTAATCCCATTTATTCCTCTCCATTGAAACTCTCCCACCCCCTTCAGCTTTGTTTCACTTAAAGCCAGGACATCCAGCTTCTTCTCATTCATAACATCCACAATCATCTCTTTCTTATCATTTGCACAACATCCACGCACATTCAGACTTCCCACTTTGACAATTTTCTTCTTATTCTTTTTAGTAATCTTTACAGGAAAAGGGGTTGCTAGCCCATTGTTCCTGGCATTTTAATTGACTTTTACAACACGCATGGCTTACGGAGGAAAGATTCTTATTCCACTTCCCCATTGATATAAAAGGAAAAGTAATAAGACCAAGAACTATTAAGGTAAAATCAAAGAAAACTCAGATGAGTGTGTATAAATAAACGTGTACATGTGTGTGTAGTGTGACCTAAGTGTAAGTAGAAGTAGCAAGACATGCCTGTAATCTTGCATATTTATGAGACAGTCAAAAGACACCAGCAATCCTACCATCATGTAAAACAATTACAGGCTTTCGTTTTACACTCACTTGGCAGGACGGTAGTACCTCCCTGGGTGGTTGCTGTCTACCAACCTACTACCTATATATATATATATATATATATATATATATATATATATATATATATATATATATATATATATATATATATATATATATATATATATATATATATATATATATATATATATATATATATATATATATAATGTGTGTGTGTGTGTCGTGCCGAATATGTAAAACTGGTTAGTTAGCAAGAACTCGTTTAAAATTGTCCTTTCTAAAATTTTCTCTTATACGTTTAAAGATATATTTTTTTCATTAATGTTAATGTAAAAAAAATTTAATTTTGCACCAAAAGATTCTTAGAAAACTTACCTAACCTTATTATAACAAGAACAATTTATTTTAGCTTAACCCAACTAAATATATTTTAGATTTGTTTACAATAATTTAATACTAAACAAACACAGTGAAATATATTTTTTTTTTCGTTAGGTTAAGAATGATTTTGGCGAAATTATTGCATACACAAATTTTCACTTGTCCTATATGGCAAGATGAGCGTTGCTATTTAAGCCAAGATCGCAAGTTTCTGCCTATTCGGCACGTACATACATACATGCATACACCAACACACACACACACACACACACACACACACACACACACACACACACACACACACACACACACACACACACACAACACACACACACATATAAAATATATATATATAATATATATATATATATATATATATATATATATATATATATATATATATATATATATATATATATATATTTATTAAACTCAAGCCTTACTATGAGGTTTGATAAAGCTCAATATATTATGCAAACGTAACAAATGCATCACTTTACCAAAACTGATCATCGGATTAAATATACTATTCATACTCTTATTTTGTGTTATCTTCTCTTTTCAGGTATGCCAGAATTCCATCACGTTCATTGCCACTTGTAGACGTGAGTGCTATAACTGGTTCTGTATATTTTCATTTGTGTATTATATGTTATATACTATGATTATGTCACATCCTGGGATTCTTGACTACTATAATCGTATAGCTGTAGTATTTGTAAGTATTGAGCTTCGCTTGTGGAAGGCCATACTGAGTGTGTTTCATCCTCATTGATAAAGGTAAGTGCATTTGTCAACACTTACGTATGAACAACTTGATTTTATGAGGTTAAAGAGTCATGTTTGGTGTGATTTTTAGCTGGCTCATTATTCTGTGACAGACTAAGCATCACGGCGGATTGCACCGTTGCTTCTAATTAATATATTCATGAGGAAAAGCTAATTCCCCAGGGGTCATGCAGTGCCTGGGAAAGTGAATCAAGTTGTTCCGAGGAATGGGAGAGCAGTACCAGTACTTTCAAGCTAACTGTTGGAAAGAAGGTATCTTCGAAAAAAAAAATGTGAAGACTTCATAGTTTCAATGTTATGTTTTTTTTTTTTTTTTTTTTTTTGGTAAAAGACTATAGAAGCTAAAGGAATATTATCTAATGGCGCTTAAGGTGTTTAATTTTCCCCTGGGTTCATCCTACACCCATTTCTCGCTTTTATATTTATGTTAATGTTCATATTAGGGAGACTCCCCCCCCCCTTTCCTTCCCTTTGATATATCTTTGATGAGTTTAGATAGTTTTTCTACTCCCAGAGCCCGGCCATGAGGCCTGGTATTTACCTGGTCAACTAGGCAGACACCAGATGGACATGTGGCCGCTGCCCCACGTATCTATCACAGCCTGGTTGACGTGGCATCTTCCTCACATACGGATGAAGTGGTGAAAGGAGATTCATTATAGTACATTTTCATAGCTATAATAATGTCTAGGAGGCTAGAAACCACTAATGACGGCAAGAGTAGTTTGAGGATCACACAAGCTGAGAAACTACTACTACTATCCACAGAAATCGCTGATTTCACAGACGTATTTGGCTTATTCAGATTCCTTTCTCCTAAAACAATAGTAGCTTTTCACATGATTTTTAACAAATTTCTCGATTTGTTATTTGGGTTAGGTTTAGTTAAGTTAAACTGTCATCTGTTATAAAGTTAACGATTTATAACATAACGTTAATAAATGGAATAATACATAATGGCGAAAGAAACTTTTGGAACTCAGACAAAAAACGGGGATCCACGAGCACACATTAAATAGTTGCATAAGCACTTTCATTTCAGTACTATTAACTGTAGATAAATAATGGTTATAATCATATTCATGATTTTTAAAGAGGTTGACCGGTAAGCCAGCGGAAGTCGTCGGTCAGATGACCAAAATCTCCAGCTGTGGGTCATATGAGTGAAACCCGCGACAGGAAGCTCTTCTCCCGTTTCTTGACACACACTATACCGTTTTTATTCCAGTGTTAGTCAGACATCCGACCAAGCCACAGTAAAAAAACTGACTTTGATTAGGATGATGGTCTACTACTGCAGACTCACCTACAACGCTAAGGCAGAGGGTTACCTGGGAGAGCAGTATTTCGTTTCCTTATGCTCTCTTCTTCAGATATCTGGGGGTTACTTTGTAAGAGAAAAGTTGTTTGAAGTTTTATTTTGTCACTTAAAAACACGAAACGAAATAAGTTTGTATTATGATTGTTTAGAAAAAATAGCTTATTAGATAATAAGGAAAACTCGTTTAAAAGTTTAAAAAAGTTGTAACGAGTCAAATCCCAGATAATCTTGCCTCCCTTTCTTCTTTCTCTTTTCCCCTTCTTCCGTCCCTCTTACTCTTTCCCTTCCCACCTCCTCACTTTCAGCACGTTTAAAGATGACAGTTAATACAATTTATGCGCACGCTAAAAGCCATTATCTTAACTCAGCTCATTCAACAGCCTGGTCGTCTTAGCAGTAGCTTTAATTTTGTGTTGATTTATAGGCGCATATATCGTATTACTCCTGAGGTCCAGGGTAGAGTTCGAGGCGCGAGTCGGCTTTCATTTGGTCAGTTTGCTCTCTCTGAAATGTGTGTTGTGTAAACCTGATCCTAATGTATCACGCATGTGTATGACTAGTTAATGGTCCAGTAGGACCGAAACGTCATCACTAGTGTCTCCTGTGTGCAGGTTACAGACTGATTAAGCCTGCATCGCAGGCGAAACGTTTCGCCAACAAGGATTCCTAGTGCTGCCCATGTGTGTCAATGTAAATTTTACTCGGGATTGTCAACAGTGACACGATATTTTGGCCTTAGGAGACACTCATTGAACTGGGATTATACGCTTGTCTTCCACAAGAAATGTAGCCCCCTAGAATTAATGGCAGAATTGGTAAGAGATTTAAAACTGTTGGTTGGTCAGCCAGTCCTAGAAGCATTGATTTAAGAATTTCATGCCTCCTTCCCCCTCCCCTCCCCCCTCCCCCCCCCCCCCTTTTTTTTTATACCGTCTCCCACCTAGTCATGACATTGGCAGTGATCGATAAGAGAGACACGTGCGCGACAGTTAGGTATCCATATTCCGAAACGTTTCGCCTATATAGTAGGCTTTTTTCAGTTGAGTACTGAGTAATCAGCGGAAGCAGTAGAGATGTAAAGACGATGTTATCAGTACATCACCCTTGAAGGGTGGAAGCCTAGTGTGTAGGCGATATGTTTCGGAATAAAGATACCTAACTGTTGCACATGTGTCTTGCTTATCAGCCTATCTGTATTGTATGCCATTATCATAGTCACTCATAGGCAATGATTGTTTCCAGCGGATCCTATACCTGGGTTCAAGCATAACTCCGAGTAACGTCATTGAAGCTAAAATGTTGTGGGTGCCTAGCATGGGCCAGTAGTCCTGCTGCAGTGCTACTCGTTTTTATATTCTTATGGCATGTCTATCAGTAGAATGTTTTTAGGTTGGCCCAAAGGAGAGAGCCCAACCTTTGCAAAATTTAATAGTTATATATACCTAGGCATGCAATCTTCGATTTTGTTCGGGTTCGCAAGAGTTTGCATATAAATTATGAATTTCCAGTACAGTAATTCATTTTGCTTTGGTGTGGGGGAGCGAGTCTGTATATATATTTTTGTTTAGAGCAGAAATACAACGTTAGGGAGACCTTGTGAAACTGCACTTCTTGTGAATAGTGTGCAGTGTCATTGTTTATGGATAGTGACTTGTTCAGCGAGTTGGGCATCGGGCGAGATTATAATCAGTGCTTTTGTAGCGACCCTCGCGCCTGGCTTTCAGGACTAGCCTGCCGGGAGTTCTTGTTTTTGATTTGATTTGTTTGCAGTTGAGTTATTAGGATTTCGTAATTCATGTTATGTTGAAAATGGTGCAAAATACCGACAAGTTGGAGATTAAGACCCATGTGCAACAGTTGGGTATCTTGATTGTTGAAACTTTTCACATACACAGTAGGCTGTTTCAGTCAAATATGTCAGCATAGTTGCTGATCCCTGTGTTGTATAGCATATCAGTATCATCCATGTGCTTTAGATAGGAGATCCCTAGGCCTGTGACTGTTTGTGTGACGTCACGGGATGCGCATGTGTACGTTCGTACCTCTGCCACGCTCTCAGTTGGCGTTTGACATAGGCTGGGACAGGCAGAGGCTGGGCTCCATTTCCCATCATCACAGTCTGACAATATATCGTTACCATCCAACAAGTGTGTCTACCTTCAACCCTCGATATCTCCATTTAAGAACCCCTACGATAAATACAGAGGTAGCAGTGATAGTGAAATAGAGATGATGTAATCAGTCCATCAACCTTGCATAAAAAGCATTTGAGGTGGTCAGTCCCTCAAACTGGAGAAGTTTATCTCCATAATCTGGAACGATATTTCACTATTGCTGCCTTGTATGTGAAGAAGCGTACTGTGTAGGCGGAACGTTTCATCAGTAAAGATATCCAAATGTTGCACATTTGTAATTCATGTTGTCTTCTGAATATATACGTGTATGAAATTTGTTGTTGATATGATGATAAAACGTATGTTTGCGGTATGACGTCATCTCTCATAACTTCATTGTATAACTTAGTTTCCAGAGGTTTAGAAACTTTTTGAATACATTGCAGTCATCCATCTTCTGCGGAGAAATATTTTCTGATAACCCTTGTACATTGCTGTTGAGTATTTAAAAATCCTGGGTATATTCCTTTGGGCGAGGCCGTCTTCCAGTGAACATGACGGGGTGAGTTGGTCTTCCAGTGAACATGACGGGGTGAGTTGGTCTTCCAGTGAACATGACGGGGCATGTCAGTCATCCAGCGAACATGACGGGGCGTGTCAATCATCCAGTGAACATGACGGGGCGTGTCAGTCATCCAGTGAACATGACGGGGAACATTTCAGCCCAATATGGGACACACAGTTGGTATATCGACTACATCCTAGTAGTATAAACGTTGAGGTATCATGTAGAACAGTCATGTTACACTTTTCAGGTCGTGTGGATAGCGTGTTTATTTTCTTTGGTTCGTCCTCCTGGGCTCCTTTGATGCTCTCAGAAACAATTCTCTATTGTGGGATGAACGTTTTTTTCTGTAATGTTTTCTCTCTCTCTCTCTCTCTCTCTCTCTCTCTCTCTCTCTCTCTCTCTCTCTCTCTCTCTCTCTCTCTCTCTCTCTCTCTCAATTTTATTTGGTTATCTTACCTTGTATTGTTTATCGAGAGTTTCTCCTCTCGATAATTTCGCCTCATTATTTGTTGCTGAGTTTTTCCTCAGTTTTGTAATGCCTTACTCACTTCTCTGAATTATATTTTTTTCCTCCTGCATCTCCTTCGTTGTCTTAACTCCTTTGTGACCATCGTTGTAGTCATTAAGGCTCTAAACTCTTTGTTCACACTTGCTTTGTTTCATCCTTATAGCTCCCTTACAGCGTTGTCGCCCTTTCTCTCTCTTTCATTTGCTTTGTTTAAATGTGAAAATTTATATTTTACATTATCATCTTCCTTGTGTAATTTTTATTATATCCCATTAGTTTCCATCCTGTGATTGCGTGTTCCTCACCTCCTGACTTTCTTCAATTTGCTTCTCTCTCCGCCTTCTCATGCCTTGCTACTTTCCATGTCCACCTTTAGTTTGCTTCTTATGGTTTTTGTGTTCCTCGCTACCTTACTTTCTTCAATGTACTCCTCTGTCTCACTCCACCTTCTCACGCCTCGCTACTTTCCAAGTCAACCCTCATCATGTTACCCTTCCCTTCTCACCCTCTTAATCCTCTCATCGTCATGCATCTCAAATTGCCAACCTGTCCTCAGTCTTGTATGTCAACATAATTCCTAACTAGTAAGGAACCATTTGTATAGTATTATTTTAAATGAAACTCTTAGGTTAGGTTGGCACTGGTACATGACCTACCGTATTTAACCGAACATAACACAAAACAACATAACCTGACCAAACAATACAACATAAAAATAAAAGAATTCAGCCACGGCATACTAGGTAGGCCGTTCTTAATTAAATCCAGCCATTCTTACCCACATATTTGTCCAGTATATTCCCAAAGCTACATAACACATGGCAAAACAACCTAATAAAATCTAACAATTGAACTTGCACGGCAACCTAACCAAAGCTAACATAACTTAATACAACTTAACCAAACATAACTCAACCTAACACATACCAGAGATAAGCCAAGGTATTAGATTTTTTAAAGTAACATTCTAATTGCTTATGAAATGCAACTTTCTCGTACCTATACATAAAATTGTATTTGCTAAGCATTAAATTTAACACTTACACAGGAGAGGTTGCTTATTCAGCATCCCCTCCCCTACATCCTTCGTCTCTTACCTCTTGGTCTCCAACTTGTCCTTGACACTTTCTTTAGCGCTCTCACTCTATTCCCACGTCATTTATCTCTATCCCTCCCTCCCGTCTTACACTTTTCCTAGCTGTTCTTAGGACCAAAGTTTTGGTATTTGGTAAAGAAGGTGGGCCCGGATGTGTGTTGTTCATGGCCGGAGACAGGAGGAGGGCGGGTGTGGGCGCAAGTGCAACGTGACTGAAGCCCACTTGTTGCATTGTGTAGCCACTCTTTGTGTTAGGTGGTGGTGAGCAGCAGGTGCGGGTTAACACTTTCACTAGCCACCCCCACACCCAGCTACCAGCCAATCACTACCCCTCTGCTTCCTCTACTGCCCTCTCTCTCTCTCTCCCTCCAACACTTCCTAGCAAACTTTTCTTGTCAGGCTCATGCGAGTAATTTGCTCTTTTATGTTTTAGGTTTGTATATTTTGAAAGTTTTCGTAATTACCACTATGTAAATGGAGGGCGTTCGCAAGGCTAATAGTGTTAAGGAAGCTGGGAGTAAAAAAAAATGTTTAATATATTCTGGCAACACCATGTTGGTAAGCTGCCGCGACCAATCAGCGAGGACGTTAGAGGCCGTTTTGGAGTTCATGGTGGTTGCCCGCTGACGAGGGTTGCGAGACAGTTGATCTTGTGTAGTGTGGTAGCCTGCTAGTCTGCTGCTAGACGCTTCAGTGGGAGGGTGAGAGTTATCTCTCCTCTGTCCCCCGTCTTGTCCTGTCTGGAGTTAAACTCCACAGAGAAGTCAACCGTGGTTTATTAAAACCATCTAAATACCCGTCTTTGATGTTCCTAGATAATGAGAAATATTTAAGTCTTGTGGATCACATTTAGTGAAGAGACAGTGTGGTTATTGTGACTTGAGATGAAACTGGAGGTGGTGGTGGTGAGCGGATTCCCGTTCTACTACAGGTAGTGTGCCCCGTGCCTTGTCTTATACCTAAGTCGTCACTGTTGGTCTGTACGCAAACCATAACCATTACCATATTGCTTATTTACACTCATCACCTGGGATGAGATAAAGATTTGTTCGAATTTTTAACCCGGAGAGTTATCCACTCAGGTAACTCAGTTAGTGCGTCATCGATGACTGTTTTATTTCCATTGGGATCCTTCAATCTTGTTTCCCAGGATGCAACCCACAATAGTCGATTAACATTCAGGCACCTACTTGCTGTTGGTTAATCAGGGACATGCCTAACGTTTCCACGCGTGCTAGCGGTTGGACCACAGAGTCGGTGAGGCGAGTGCGTTGCAAACCGAATCACGGGACACTTCTGATGGCTGTGCGCGCCTTCGGGCTGCTATCATAAACAGCCTGGTTGACCATAAGATCAACAGAGAAGCCAGGCTATAGGTCGTATTGTGGGGATAACCCTTGATCTTGATGTAGCTTTAATGGCGCATCATACAATAAATACATGTAATAATTCACATAGGTTATTAATGTTGGGTGTAAGAATAATCTGCTTTATTTATATTATATTCATTGGGAAGCTGCAGACCCACTGGGGTCATACAGTGCCAGAGAAATGAAACTAGTTCACTTCCTGGGATAGAGTTCTTCGCCAGCAACAAGGCGCCGAACTTGCAGGGATGGTCCACTTGCACATTTGATACTTCACCGCGCATCACTCAGCCACAAGTTATGGAAACAAATTTCACGATAGCGTCATTGGGGAGAGCTTGGGGTAGCCATAAATACAGGTTTGATGGGTATATGAGCGAGTTGAGCCTGCCTAGCATGTATCAGTAGGCCTATCGCAGTGTTCGTTATGTTCTTGCGAAAACAAAATTTGAGATAAGTAATATTGCTAATTAACTGGTTTTACACTCCGCGTTGACTTGGTGCACTTGAGTTTACAACTTCGCATCGTAGCTGCCGTTTCCTCCACACGTTCATTTGTATGGCAGACTAAGAAGGTGCAACGGTAGCTGGATTTTATGGATCATTGAAACAAACTTTGATTTTGGTCAAAATTGGACCAGACTTAACAGTGGTTCTTACCTTCAACAGGAAAACATACCGGAAGTTTTAGGGGGTCACTGACCTCGCGGTCCTGTCCCAAAGCAAACTGGACTATAGTGGGTACGTGGTTACTGGTACCAATAGCCTAATTGATTTGGCTTTTAACTAGGAGGCCTGGCCTGGAACCGGCCTTTAAGATGTCAGATGGAATCCACGACAAATAATCTACTCAATACTCTCATAAGGAAAAGTATGCATGTCACTTTCATGGGTTTAAACAGTAAAAAAAAAAAGATAGCTTTAGGGTGGGAATGCGAGCAAAGAAAGTTGTCAGTGTGGAGTGTGTGCAGACTCTTGAGTGCCCGGGGGTGGGGAAGCTGCTGCTGAAACTGTCACTTATTAATTTGCATCAGTTTAATCTCATGCATATTGAGAAAATTGTCATTGATTTATGTTAATCGTGACAGGAAATACCGAGGATTTCATTCCCACAGGCTGTCTGGACACGCGCACTACATCATAATTAATGAAGGATTTACTAACTAGCGAGAAAGACGACGGTGGACTTATATAACAACACCATACTAACATTGTGCGAGAGCTCATTACTTGCTGGTCCTCATTACTTGTTCTTCCCATTGCTTGCTGTCCCTCATTGTTTGTTCTTCCCATTGCTTGCTGTCCCTTTTTCCCCCCCCCATTGTTTGCTTTCCCATTGCTTGCTGTCCCTCATTGTTCTTCCCATTGCTTGCTGTCCCTTATTGTTTGTTCTTCCCATTGCTTGCTGTTCCTCATTGTTTGCTCTTCCCATTGCTTGCTGTCCCTCATTTTGCTTTTCCCATTGCTTGCTGTCCCTCATTGTTTGATCTTCCCATTGCTTGCTGTCCCTCATGTTTGTTCTTCCCATTGTTTTGCTGTCCCTCACTGTTTGTTCTTCCCATTGCTTGCTGTCCCTCACTGTTTGTTCTTCCCATTGCTTGCTGTCCCTCTTTTTGCTCTTCCCCATTGCTTGCTGTCCCTCACTGTTTGTTCTTCCCATTGCTTGCTGTCCCTCGTTGTTTGCTCTTCTCATTGCTTGCTGTCCCTCACTGTGTTCTTCCCATTGCTTGCTGTCCCTCATTGTTGCTGTCCTCACTGTTTGTCTTCCCATTGCTTGCTGTCCCTCACTGTTGTTCTTTCCCATTGCTTGCTGTCCCTCATTGTTTGCTCTTCTCATTGCTTGCTGTCCCTCACTGTTTGTTCTTCCCATTGCTTGCTGTCCCTCATTGTTTGCTCTTCTCATTGCTTGCTGTCCCTCATGTTTGTTCTTCCCATTGCTTGCTGTCCCTCATTGTTTGCTCTTCTCATTGCTTGCTGTCCCTCACTGTTTGTTCTTCCCATTGCTTGCTGTCCCTCATTGTTTGTTCTTCCCATTGCTTGCTGTCCCTCATTGTTTGTTCTTACCATTGCTTGCTGTTCCTCATTGTTTGCTCTTCCCATTGCTTGCTGTCCCTCATTGTTTTTCCCATTGCTTGCTGTCCCTCATTGTTTGCTCTTCCCATTGCTTGCTGTCCCTCATTGTTTGCTCTTCCCATTGCTTGCTGTCCCTCATTGTTTGCTCTTCTCATTGCTTGCTGTCCCTCATTGTTTGCTCTTCCCATTGCTTGCTGTCCCTCACTTGTTTGCTTCCCATTGCTTGCTGTCCCTCATTGTTTGCTCTTCCCATTGCTTGCTGTCCCTCATTGTTGCTCTTCTCATTGCTTGCTGTCCCTCATTGTTTGCTCTTCCCATTGCTTGCTGTCCCTCATGTTCTTCCCATTGCTTGCTGTCCCTCATTGTTTGCTCTTCCCATTGCTTGCTGTCCCTCACTGTTTGTTCTTCCCATTGCTTGCTGTCCCTCATTGTTTGCTCTTCCCATTGCTTGCTGTCCCTCACTGTTTGTTCTTCCCATTGCTTGCTGTCCCTCATTGTTTGCTCTTCCCATTGCTTGCTGTCCCTCACGGTTCTGACCGGTAAATCTCCTCGTGTTCCAATTTTCATTATTACAGTTGAAAACACAATACTCTGACGTTTGTTCCTGATCAATAAAGCCCTCATGGTACGGTCTCAGACTAGGTATCCCGGTGTTTCAAGGTCTGATCGATCAAGCTGTTACTGTCTAATATACGACCGTCCCCCGCCAGTCAGTGGTATGTGTTGAGTTGTCGACTGGATCACCCCTGGTGACGTCTGCAATCACATCGCCAGTTGACTGTACCTTCCACCGTCCCTTCCCTCTTTCATCAATTCCTTCTTTACTCCGTTCCTTCCTCCGCCTTATCCTTCTAGTCCTTCCCTTCGCCCAATATCCACTTTCTCCGCTGGAAGAATGGAGGATATAAAGATTGAAACAGAGTACAGGACAAACTCTAAGCCATGCAGTAAAGCAAAAGTTCCATGCGAGAGCCTTGTGTGATGTCAGATCTCCCATTCAAGGATCACAGCAATGTTGCTCTTGCTACCGCATGGAAAATTATAGGCAGCATAATTACCAATTCAATGACGAGGCGGTGAGTCATTGAGGATACTCTGTAGGTCGCTTCTCTCCATGCTGGAATACTGCTTTATACTAACGGCCCTCTTCAAGACAGGTGAGATCGCAGAGCCCAAAAAAAAAAAAAGCTCAGAACTTTCACGGCCCGTATATATTCAAACATCTGAACTACCGGGAACGCTAGAAGTTTTTTAACGGTGTTCCTTGGAACGTGGCGAGAAAGGCACATCATAATTTACACCTGGAAAGTCGTGGAGGGACTTGACCCAAACCTGCACACCGAAATCACTTCGTGTGAAAACAAAGAGACATGGTAGACAGTTCAGAGAGAGCGAGTGAACTCAACACGGAGAGAGATAACTCAACGAATATCAGAAATCCCCGGCTTTCCAGCGCACTCCCTCCGTGCATAAGAGAATTTCCAACAAACCTCTGAGAGTCTTCTAGAGGGAACTTTAGTTCCCGAGCTGCGGTTCGTACGTTGAACTACGTGCGGCCAGCAGTAACAGTCTGATATATCAGGTCTTAATCCACTTAGAAGCCTGGGCTGGGACCTAGCCACGGGGACGTTGACCCCCGAAAGTATCCTTGAGGTACGGTCCTTCCCCCTTCACCCTCACCGCCCCTACCCCATAGCCCCCACCGTCCCTCCCCACCTGTCTTATATGGATGGTTGTAATTTATTTCCTTTGTAAGAATCACAAATTGATTATATCTAGATATTACATTGTGTATAAACACTGTTGGGCTCGCATGTCATAAGTTGTAATGACCAACTTCTCAGAATATTGTGTTCAGTATGCTACATGTGCTCGTGTGCAGTCATGTTTTTATGCCGCTATATTTTAAATTCTCTTGCAGTGTTAGCTGTGTGATTTGAGTTGCAGTACAAGAGCGTGTGCTCTTGTACTGATGTAGTTATAATGCCTGGTTGTGTAGGTTTTCGTACTTCAAGATTTTGGCCCGATTCTTGGGTTATCTTTTGCTTATATTACATTTCACTTTGAAGCCAGGAATTGCTGTTGCTTCTTCATGGTTGTCTAGTTTGTTCCAGTAACTTATTTGACCTAACCTTGAACAAATATTTCCTAACGTTCCGGAGAGTCATCTTTAAAGCTGTAACTGTAACCACTTGTTCCGGTTGTTAGTTTTGAATAAGCTGTTGGGGTCTACTTTGCATGTGTGTGAGTATCCAGCCCGGCTAGGATCTGGGAGAAGAAAAACTCTCGAAACTCATCAGAGATTACGAGGTATTATCAAAGATTATCACTTGGTTTTCTATAGCCTTGATAGATTCAAATCTTCTAGTATATCTTTACTCCTTCTGTTTCTTACCTCTGGTAATAGTCTTTATCCAAGTATTTTGACGTTCACACGCGCACAGTACATAATATATACGCATATACGTTACATAATATATACAATATATAA